AAACTTTTCAACATCATTCTTTGTTAAACTTTCACTTAAATCAAGTTGTGGATGATATAGTGAAATTAATTCATATAATGCTTTTGAATCTGAATCCATTGTTATGGATCCAGGATGTAGAAATGGTAATAGTTTATTTCGTAATGAAAACATTCGATGAAATATTGCCATACGATGATATCGTGTTAATACTAACAGATCTTCATCAACGTAAGGTTTAAAAACTAATATTACAACAATAATTCCCATAATATAAAACAACCAAGTGCTAAACATTATTAACGAAGTTTATGCCAAATAGTCAACGATAAAAAAATCAAAATAAGTAATAAATAAAATGAAACATTCGTTTTTTCTTTTCTTTTTTATAGTCAGACATGAAAAATTGAGGACGTGTTATTAACTAAATAAGTGTGACATGATGGTACATTCGATTACTTAGGACAGTCTTTTTTTTTTCAAGCGACGCTCTTTAATAGATAAAAAATAGCCTTCAAGACGTCGTTTTGTCACTAATTGTGTATATTATTTGATAGACGTCAAAAAACGTTGTAACTTTGAAATATACAAACAGCAAAGCTTATACTTTTTCTGCTTGTCAATGAATATGATAAATGAACTATGCCCATCTCATCACTTGATTATTATATTCTCTGAATGAATATTGATTTATAAAATGACTCTACCAGATAAGTAAGCGTTTGATGATTAACACACTATATGTTTGATTAAATACAATTAAGGCATATTCGTATATTAATAAACACGCAATACACCTTGATCAAGGATGTAAACCATGTGATAACTGTGTTTTTTTACGTTGAAACATTCAATAGGAAGAAAAAGTATTTTCATCTAAAGAAACATACAAGATGAGTCATAACGACGATGCTTGAGTTTAATAATATCTTTTGGAGGGACAGTATAAAACATTAATGACTACTATTTCATATTTAGCAACGTAGCTAAAAAGGTATATTCAATCATTACGCATATATTCAGTGTAAACGAATATTTTTTATTGTGAAAAAAAAAATCTTACCTTGAAAGAATATGTCAAATATAGAAAGACAGTATTTTAAATGAATGCATAAAATATTCTCGTAGTGTAATAAGTAGTTTTCTTGTAGAAGAATCAATAGTTTATAAGCATTGTTGAATTAAAGTTAAATCAACTAATTATTAATGTAAAAGAAAAAAAAGAAGCAATGATCAAACATTGTATTGAATGCAATCAGGTAAAATCTGTATAGAATTCTATACCAATGAACTGAAAGTTATAAAAATTATTTTGATAAGAAAAGTAGCAAAAAATATCTAAATTTTAGCATCGATTTAATTTGCTCATGAAAATCACATTGGATTTATTTGAATAGAAGATGAAAAAAAGAACAGACTGGTTCTTTTTTTTTGATCTTCAAGCATAAAAGTTGTTAGTGTAATCCATGCAAGATCAAAATATGATATAGTTACTGTTGCTAAGCACAGGAAGATTGTTGTATTCAATATATTTTGGAACATATTTCTTCACCATCGTTATACTTCATCCTCGCAAAATACAATAAGGAACTAGTTCATATATTACACAGAGACGTTGTTGATTTACAATCAAAGACTGTATATGAATAACGTCTGTGGTGGAGGCGGAGGTCCAAAAATTGCTAACCCTAAATTTCAATACTTCTTTTTCGACAATGTTTCACGAAATGTAGTAAAAATAAATTTTATCATGTAAAATAATTAAAGTAGAAAAAAAAAATAATCATTTAAGCTGAATTTATTGATCATATTGAAGAAAAAAAAATCATTGCTTTGAGGAAAGAATGTTATTAATCAAGTTGGTCCGTATTTCGTCTTTGACCATCGATATATCTCTATCTTCACTCATGTTTATTACATCACCATCATCTGATTCAGGACTATCATAAGTTGGAGGAATCTTTTGTTTTTTTGAAATATTTTCAATAATCAATGGATATGAATGACGTTGTCGTTTTTTCCAATACATTATAAAAATTATAATTCCAAAGATTAATACAATAACAGTCAATAGGACATAGTTAGATTTATTGTATAATGTGTTTCTTTTCAATGCTTGTTTTTTGGTCTCTGATGATAATGAACTAGGAACGAATGATTTCTCTTATAGATAATATTCAAAATAAGACTGTTTTCTACCTACGAGAATGTTGAACTTAAAGTTGATTTTTTTTCGATATCAGATACTTCGTCATTTTCCTTATTGTTTAATGTAAAAGATTCAGTTGTGAATATTTTTATTGTTTGTTGATGATGACCTAGAGATAGAAAGACTTTTTGTAAAGAATAATCAATCAAAATGTTTACAAAATATTGAAGAATTTAAATAAAACTTCGAAATTTTCTTTGAATAAATGCATAAAAGGAATTATTATTTCAAATTTAGAAAACGTTTGATACCTTTATTTTGATTTTCAAATGTTCTAAGTAATACAACAAGAGCTTTATTAAGCCTTTGTGTTGCTTCTGTAGCACCAGGTGCAGTTATTTTATCTGGATGTACAAGTAAAATTAATTTTCTATAAGTATTAACAAGTTTATCTCGTGTTGCATCTTTGTTAATGTTAAGTATACCATAATAATCATTTTCTTTTTTAGAAAGTATTCGTTTTATTTCAACTAAATTTTGTTGAGTATATCCTCTTTTATTTTCAGTTTTTGATTGTTTTTCATTATGATTTCGAGAGAATGACCTATTATCACTTAGTATAGTATTTGGTTGATTATTTTTCAACAATTGTTCAATATTCGATTGTGATTTGGATGATTTACCATGGAAAAGTCGTTTAATTCTTTGATTAGAATTTTTAGTTAAAAAAGGGAATTCGTTTTGATTACTATTATTAATAGAAGTATAGACCAGAATCAGTTGTAAAAGAAAGTATCGGAAGAAAAGCATGTTTAAAAAAAAACAAAAAAAACAAATAATACATGCGCCAATTTTTCAATCATTTAAATAAAACTAACAACTTTTAGTTCATTTATTTAAAAGCTAATAAATCTTTCGAATATGATGAAGAATTTAAAACTGAACAAAGTTGTATGTATCGGTATGGGCTTAGAAATATTATATCTATTTTTGTTTAAGAATAGTGCAGGATTTTTGAAAGACCTGAAAAATGATTTTTCATGATGCACTAGCATGTTTTTATTCACCCTATAAGTTTCTTTGCACACATGCGAACAATTGTTGAAGTCAATCGTTTTGTATAGTGGACACTTGATGATAAAATATCATATTGAACTAAGCTGTAACTTTTACTCAAGTAGAGCAACAAACATTTTTTTCAAGAGCTCCATTCCAGATAAAACGATTGTTGATTTTTCAAACATAAGTATTTAAGAAAAACGAAAATGGAAGTGTTTTGTCGAAAGACAAAAACATGTCAAACAGTACATTTAGTAGGGTAATTATTTCTGATCAACAGGTTGATATATAAATAAAGATTTCAACTTTTACTTTCGAACAGGGCTGCCAAATCCAAACTTCGAAAACCAGGAGTTTTTTGCGAAAAATCAGAAGTTTACCAGAAGATTTTTACTAAAATATCAGGAGAAAAATCAGGAGATGTTTATTGAAATCAGGAAATGAATTAGTGGTCTTCTCTCAAAGAAAACTGAAGTTTTCGTTTATCTAATCACTTGTTATGTTCTTCAACTAAGTTACTAATCACAAAATTTTCTCTAAGTGATATATATTAGGAAAAAAAAGATAGTTGTGTGGAATTTATTTTACTACTCATTTCACAGCGATTCATCAAAATATACCGACAAAATAGAAAATGAAGTTTAATTAGACATCAATATGTAACTAAACAAAATGAGCATACATAAACAATAATTTATCAACTATACCGTTCATGTCACTTTTGTAACATGACCATAAACAGAGCGGTCACAAGGTCTGAGTATGCTTGAGCCTACTCTAAATTGGACAGCTAAAGGCTTAGGCAGGTTCGCGGATGGAATAAATGAAGACTTAGATAGGATCTATTCATAGACGATGGAATCACACGGCTTCAGTAGACTAAAGTCCATCTTAGGTTCAGATTTTATGGACTATGGTACCCTCAAATAATTGTTTTCTACTACGTCAAATTGATAGGTTTGTGCAGTACATAAAAACCTTTGTATGGACATCAAGATTTTTTGCCACTATCGGCAATAAATAGTAACATTTATTGAAACAGACCTAGAAACTATTTTTGAGAAAACTTTTAGTTTTGTGTGGGTAAATGTCCAATCTTGGGCCAGCCATGATTTAAAGTGGGGTTCTTTGATGGAGTACTGCATAAAAAACCTGAATCATATCAGCTTGTAGCTGTCAAAGACTTTCATCATTTTTAGCGACTAAGTTTACATTACCCGATCATTAGTGTTATGAGAGCAACTTTTCTCGATTATTGTTTCTATTCTCAGAAAAAATTTGTTGTTCTCGCCCGTATATTCTCTTTCTCGGAAAAAAATGGTTATTCTTGTTCTTACACTCTCATTCCCGGAAAAAAATTTATTTCCACTTCTGTGAGCAGATGCGTAAACCAGTCTATACATCGGCGGTGTGTAAGTGTGACGTTTTTTTCTTTCAGCAGCGACTGAAAATACTCAACTATTTTTGTTTGTCGGCGGAGACGAGTGAACTTGTAGGACGATTTTTTTAAGGTTTTCTTATTTCTGAGAAATTATCGGATGGGAAAAGAGAAAACAATGGTAGAGAACACACTGATAAAAAAAACCTAGACAGAAACATCGTTGAAAAGTGATCTCAGGCATCGAAAAATCTTCAAAACTATTAACTTTTTGTCCCACCGACAGCTGCGACTCAGCTCGTCGATTTACACTTCTAATCGTAAGACGTTAGAATTCATATTCCTGTTTTAGTTTTAGATTTTAAGATAATCGTGACACGGCTTCAAATTAAAAATATAATTATGATCGGAGCTACAATAGGTTAGTTATGTAAAAATAAAAAGCTATTACATACATGTATTTGAATATGTGTGCAAATACGAGAAAAAATGCGGGGACACCAATATTTAATAGAGTTCCCATTGCCATAAGAAATAGAGCGAGAAAACGACGAGTATAGAAAAATATTCTCGCAGAACAAAATCTTTTCAACACAGTAAAAACATTGATAATGTAATACCGTTTTTGTGAACACTACTGCTTGGACATTCTTGCGTTTTTTAGCAAAGCGGATGGAAAACAATTCTCGCGAGAGTTGAAAGTCAATGAAGATAGTCATCGACATGTTTTCTTAAATCCACCTTTTTTGACACATAAGTTGCAAATGCTTTTCTTATCTCTATTAGTGTCATACATTACGAAATACGAGTTCGAAGTGAAAAACACTAACTTTGTTTCATCAAGATGGCATCAAATAAATTGGCTTACTCCACATTTTTAATTTTCTGGTGCGAATCTTGTAAAAAATTGTTGAGCCTACTCTAGATCCAAAACATTTCGCCACCTATGAACATGACCATATTTTTCTAAAGACTGAGTTTGTTTCAATAGGTCTGAATTATTTAAAGGATAATTGTAGAACTGTGTACAACTGAGATGATTATTTATTTTAGTTCCTAATTATGCGCCAATAAGATCGTACTTCAAATCGTTTCTATTCTTAGCCCACAAAAATTTCATGTGGCTGAAGATCAATTCACAAATAGCATTCTAGATTGATATAGAAAAAGCGAACTAAACTAGTTTTTGTAAATAAGGTACATTTTGAGCGTCAAGAAGATAAGCTCACAAATAAACGCATGTTATCAAGCATAATAAGCAGAAACAACGTGTTTTCCCATTGTCTATTGCATCTATGAAATAGTGTGATAGTTCTCTTTTTCTTTGCCTCATTGATTCAAAATATCACTATAATTAAACGTGGCAAAACCCTTTAAAAAATCGGGAGAAATCAGGAGAAAATCATAAAAACCAGCTCCTTGATCCAGGAGATTTTTTCGCCAGGAGAAAAGTCTAAAAATCAGGAGATTTGGCAGTCCTAAATGAGACCAGATAGAAGCAAACGAAGAATGGCAAACAATAAAAACAAACAATATATGAAGCAATTCAGTTTGAAATTCTATTTATAATTTTTGTTTTTTCCTCTCCTACGAATGACGTTCGATCGATAGATAGTACAATTATTGTTTTTTTTGTTTTATGGACAGATCCTACGTTCTCATGCCAGATGCACAGAGATTTTGTTTGTCACATGTTTCGTCACTATCGTTTCGTCAATAACAAAACTCTTGAAATAAAAAACAAAAATGAATGAACAAAAGATTGAAATAAGAAATCTTTGAGTCTTCTATAGCAACAATAATAACAAATCAAAAAATAAAAAGTGTCAACACGAACGAAGTAAAAAAATCTACAATAAAAAATATGTAGAGAGAGAGACGACCTCTATTTTTGCCCATTCTTTCTTTTCACCGCCATCCAACAAGCAGTTACATTTTTATCTATTTATTCATTTAAGAAAAACACAACGTCATCGAAATGGACAAAAAACAACACTTCAAATCAACTGCTAGTGGACCGTCTGCATCATCTACTGCAAATAAATCTAAGAAACCATCAACAGAAGTAGCAGCAGCAGCATCAATACCAACAATAACAATGGGTAGAAGTGCTGTGCTTCCTCAACCTGCTCGTCGAATTATTCAAAATTTTCTTCTCGTCTGGCTCGATGCCAATATGGACGAGTCAAAGGAAGATTTTCAAAACACATTAAAACAATTACGACGAATTGTAGCATCCATTACAACATTCACCGATGTTCAACAATGTTTCGATTATCTTAGTGGTATTACAAAGGAAAAGGCATTTATGATCGTATCGGGTTCACTTGGACAAAAAATAGTACCAGAACTGGAAGCCATACCACAATTAGAATCCGTGTACGTTTTTTGTAGTAATCAATCTTACCATGAACAATGGGCCAATAAGGTACCGAAGATCAAAGGAGTATACACAAAAATTGAACCGATTTGTAACGCCCTAGAAATTGATCGACAACGATGTGATCAAACTATGATCTCGATCAGTTTCAATGGTCTTGATGCATTATTTATGTACACACAACTTTTGAAAGAAGCAGTCTTAGAAATCGAAGATGATGATAGAAAATCTATCAAAGATCTTGTTACATACTGTCGTGAACAAGAAGATATATCTGAAGATCAAATTAAACTAATCGAACGTGAATATCGTGATCATACACCGATTTGGTGGTATACGGCTCCTTATTTCATGTACTCAATGCTTAATCGTGGTCTTCGACAAATGGATGTCGACATTATTCTTAAAATGGGCTTTTTCATCCGCCATCTACATCAACATATTAAAAAATTACATGGTGAACAACAATCCGATAAGCCCACCAACAGACCATTCACAGTCTTCCGTGGACAAGGTTTGTCCATGGAATACTTCGAGAAAATGAAACAAACAGAAGGAGGACTTATGTCCTTCAACAACTTCCTTTCAACCAGTCGTCAACGAAAAATTTCACTTGGCTTTGCACGTCAGTCACTCGACAATACTAATTATGTCGCCATACTCTTCGTTATGAATATTGATCCAACGGTATGCGTACAATCGAAAATTCCCTATGTCGACGTGAAAGGTGTCGGTTACTATGACAATCAAGAAGAAGAAGTACTTTTTACGACACATACGATCTTTCGCATCAATCAATTCAAGCGCATCGAAGACAAAGATACCGATCGCCTATGGCAAGTTAATCTCACCCTTACGGGTGACGACGATAATGAACTCGATGCGC